GTGTGTGTGTGTGTGCGGCGGGCACAGCACCATGCAAGCACATGCACGAATGCACACAAGAATACGAACCCGCGCACACGAACACGAACGTACACACGAACGCGCGCACATGAAAACACGCGCACATGAAAACAAGCGCACACACGAACGCGCGCACATGAAAACAAGCGCACACACAAACGCGCGCACGAAAACGAACGCACAAATGAACGTGCACACACAAGCACGCACAGACAAGACATAAACGCACTGCCGATATTGTTCAGGGGGGCGGCAGTAGGACTACTGGGCCTACCAGTAGGTAAATTCTAGGTCAATCTGGGCCATTGCCCCAGTGGCGCCGCGCCGACAGCCTCTGGATTGTTGCTCGATCTTAAATTCTGGATGCAAGGACCATCCAGGCCGTTGGCCCATTATGATCAAGGGTAGGTCAACCGCGAACGCCCCGATTCGATATCTTTTTTTTTCCTTCTTTTTTTTTTTTTTTTTTTTTGGGGGGGGGGAAAAGCAAGGAAATCCATTATCATGATTTATATGGAAACCTTACGCTGAGGATGAAGTGAACTTCCTGTCAAAGGTGGCTTGGGAAATGCTGTGCCTCCCAAGAGAGGAGGGTGAACTTGGTATCCTTGACCCTAAGAAACAAAATGAGGCTATGCTGGTTAGATGGGTAGTTCAGGCTTGCTTGGAGTCCCCAGTACCGCACTGGGTGTATCTGACCGAAAGTATCTTGGCCAAGGAATGGCGTCTCCCTAGGACAGAAGATGTCTGGACCTGTCTTTTTTTGTACTCCTTTCAACGGAGGATGATTAAATCTCCCTTTTGGCATGACATTGTTCAGGCGTGGAGGAAACTCCAACCCCATGTTTGGGTAGAACCTGTCACTAAGGCAGAAGTCCTAGCACAGCCGTTGTTTGAGAACCCCCATATTCGCTCCCAGGATGGGGAATGGTTTAAGGCAGATTCGGCCCCCTCTAGTTTCCGTCGTGCATGGATTGAAAAAGGAGTGCTGAGAGTCAAAGATGTTTGGGATGAATGGGCAGGTTGTTGGATCTCTGAGGAAAAGTTGAAGGAGAAACTAGGGAGACAATGGTATGTTGAAGCACGCAGGAAGTTACTCATCAATGCAATTCCGTCCAACTGGGTCTCCCTGATTGGCTCGGAGGGAGTTGATCCTGCAGGCACATGGTTCAAAAGTAAAATGACAGATGAAGTTCGGGTTTGGAAGCTAGTATTGACTTACCATGAGGGCACGGGTGCGCAGCCCGTAGTTCGTTTGTTGATGTGGTTCGTGAAGGGTAAGGTAATGATTATGTTGTATGTATGTTTTGTTGTGTTCGAAGAGAGTGTGTGTGGGGTCCCGGTTGGTGCTTTATTCACGATGTTCATGGGACGCTGGACCCAGTTTCCAGCAGGTGGCGCTCCCCATCAA